TGATATTCAAAGGCAGATGATTGTACATTTTTTTTGGCATTGTACAGTATTGAGCCTTTAACTAGTTCTGAGCTCGGGGTTGGTAGACAAAGATCGTGCTCCGCATTCCTAAGTGGATAGTTATGAGATGGCCTTTCGGGAATAGCAGATATGTGCTTGCGGATTAAGCAAACGGATTCAAAAATGAATAAAAAAGGAAGAGTCAGTATTTTGAAATTTTTAAAACAATTCTGGCAGTGAGTTCTACTGTTCAGTCCCAATAAATATCGAACTGCTCTCTTTTGAAGTCTGAAAATACGATCAAATTTTGTTGTGCAGTAAGTTCCCTAGAATGGAAAGGCATAACGAGTATGTGACTCAAAAAGGGCATAATAGGTTACTTTAGAGGTTGATAAGTTAAGTTCCTTAGAAACTGATCTTAGCACAATTTTTTCCCTGTCCCTGCTGTGTTAAAACATAACAATTGTTAACAAACAGCTGTTATGTTTTAACAGCAGGATTACGGGACGTCGTTGCAGTCACCCTTAGCTGCATAAAAAGCAAGAAGTTTGAATATTTCGGAATAGCCAACAAATATAAAAATACGTATTAGTGTGGTAGTACGAGCATTGTAAGACTATTAGTTTGACCGAAAGTGACTTTTGCTTTCTATTTTTAGAAGAGACCCTGTATATTTTATGGTATATATAGGTATTTGAAATAAACTTTCACTACTCTTTACAAAGGTGTATTATGATTTAGTGTTGATTTAGAGTTAATTTAGAGTGAGTGAGTAATGACAATGATGATGATAGCGTATTGAAATGAGAGTTTTATTAATTGTGGTATTGAAATAAAATATTCCAATGGAGTCGGGGTCTTGAGACGCTCGGTATATATAAATATGTGATTTAATATTAAGAGATCATTCTGAGTGTTAATAAGCATAATTACACCCGACATAAATCATATTTAATTACCGATAAGTGCAATTTCCGATATAAAAAGAGAAATATTACTTGTAATCTTGTAAAAATCTATAATAATATATCAGAAAAAATAAATAAATATTCCAAGCAAACATTTGTTTCTTGTTGAAACAACTTATTAATTCTTAAAGACAGAATATAAATATGCCATAGGTATGTTAAATCCAGAGGGATTTGTTCCTTATGATCGAAAAAAACGGCGTTCATGGTGGCTTTGAAATGACAATCTTTGATATTCCCTACAAAATTTTACATATACATATAAAATGACAGCGGTCTTCATTTCATAGCCATCGCTGACGCCGTTTTTTTTTCGATCATACGGTATACCTTGTATTTTAAAATTAATGAAAATTGATACGTTTTTCACCATTAACGTTATATTATTAATTGGGCAATAATGAATTGCTTCAGATTTTTAAGTATAAATTGTCATATAAATATCTGAGAGACCATAAAAAAAAAATAATATTTTGCAATTTATTTTTGTAGATTGAAAATAAAACTTGAGTTAAAAATTTTCGTATACATAGACTGCTCTTATTTAAAGCTTATAGTGTAGTAAAAAGCGCATTTGACTGATATGTCGTATGTCTTCCATACGGACGACAAATCTGTCTGAGCCAGCTCTGTTTATATTTTAGATATTAGTTTGTTACATATCCATCGATTACCTATAGTGATTATTAAAATTTTACGGGATCTTATCCAAATAATAAATGAGTCGTTTAAAAACAGTTTAAGTTCATTATACCGCAATATATTATATAGAGCCAGCCGTTGGCATACAATTGAATTTTGATTTTAGTTTTGACCTACTTCAGCTCTGTAGATTTTTCCGGAAATTTTACTCGGCAGTGTATACTGAAACTGTTTGCTGATAAATAACTGTTTATTCTTTGTCGAATAATGAGATGTTGGTGAATTAATCAATTTAAGAGATGCACAGGGTGTCGAAAAATAGTGTATCTGACTTCTGTATTAGGTAATTCTAATTATACAGAGAAAAATAAAACAAAAAGTTGCTATGAACATAATACATCCTAAATACTTTCCGAGGAAGGTACAGCCATCGAAAGGGCAAATAAAAATAACATACAGATTGGTCCGAATTGTATTCGGGAAGCTTTAGCAGGATAACTAACTTTAACAGTTTAACTTAACAAAAATAGAAGAAGAAGAAGGTGTAGAAGTTTTATTTTTATTTCGATTTTTCCCAAATAATTTCGGAAATAATATAAATATTTGAATCAAAATTGGTATCTGAGTATCTGGGTATTTTTTGACTAAGAAATTTTATGTTAATGTGTCAATATGACTCCGATTTGTAGGAGGCGCGATGTACATGTTTTTTAATTGGTTTCGTGTATATCACTACTGAGTGAAAAATATACATTTCCTCCATTTTTTACGCAAAAATGCAACAGTAATCGTTCTCAAGATATTTGGAATAAAAATTATCAATACATGTATCATTGACAAAAAAATAAACATGTTGGCTAGATAGTTATTTGACTAAAATGATAAATCTGGGGACTTTTAATTTTTTTTTAGTTAATCATATATTTTCTAGAAAAGATTATGATGAAATAGTTTCTGTTGAACCTTTGGTACAAAAACATTTCAAATTTATTATTTCTATCTAATAACTAACTATCTAGTCAATATGTTCAGTTTTTGTCATTGATGACATGTATTGATTATTTTGATTCGAAATATCTGGAGAACCATTACTACTAGCGATTATTACCAAGAGACTTTAATTTTACGTAAAAAATGGCGAAAATGTTTATTTTTCACTCAGTAATAATTCACTCACATAAGTAAGTTGACTGTAGTTTTATACCGGTACGGAAGAAAAGTTGGAAGAAAACTCTTCAAACCAGTTAAAACATATGTAGGTGGCGCCCCCTACAAGTAGGAGTCATATTGATACAATATGACTCCTACTGTATTCGACATACATCAGATACCAATTTTTATCCAAATATCGACGTTAGCTCAGAAATTATTTGAAAAAATCAAAATAAGAATGAAACTTCTACACCCTCTGTAATTTATACTACATCTGTAAACGAACATTGGTAAACCGTTTTTCTTGAAAATTGGTACTCTCAAACTTTTAATGTCAAAGCGAATGGCAATAGTGTAAAATTCCTTTTTTACTTTTTTTTTTAAAAGATGCACTTCGTTTACTTTGAGAAAGTGGCGGTGTATGGTTTTCAATATATTTAGGTTGTAATTTTTTGAAATTACTGTATCTACCCTAATGGAAAGTATTTCTGAGCTGTTACGGAATTTTACACTACCACAATTCGCTTTGGCATTAAAATGTGTGTAAGAGTACCAAATTTTAAGAAAAGCGGTTTCCCATATTTCTTAAAAATAAAGAAAATATGTTATTTTTATTTACTCTTTAACTTCCTAGGAAGAATTTTAGGACATATGTTCGTACGAACTTTTTCTTTTACTTATATCTGTAATCATCCATCAAAGCTAGGTATACTATTTTTTTGCCACCCTGTGTTTTTTTTTGGTCACTTCCCGTTTCACCGGAAATGAATACTTTTGATTTTTAAACGACGTCCTCGGTATTTTTTTACTTTATTCGATAGAAAATAGCACTCTCGAATAGAATGACATATCATATGTCAACTTTTGACATTTACGCATAAGGTTTATTTGAAATTGTAACAGGCGGTTCGTAACGAAAATTTGACTCCAAATACCAAGTGTGTGGTATCAAATTATTCTTAAACAAATTCTTTTTCCAAATATATGTTAATGAGCCAACATCGTTCCATTTAAAAAAATTGAGATATGATTAAAAATACGATTTGAGTATTTTCTAACTGGTCAGGACAAGACACTAAAAACATTAGACGTTTCCAAGGCTCCTTGATTAGTGTTTTTTTTAGTTAGAAGAATTAGTGTTTTTAAAATAGCCATGGCATTTTAGATTGAATTTTAAAATATTATTTTTTATTAAGCGAGAATGTCAAAAGTTGACATATGATATGTCATTCTGTTCAGAATGTAATTTTCTATCGAATAAAGTAAAAAGATACCGAGGGTGCCGTTTAAAAATCAAAAGTTGTCAGTTCCGGTGAAACAGGAAATGACCGAAAAGAATTGAATACGTCAATCAATCCTAATTTAGGTCATATACTAACAATTCTCGTTTTTTTTTATCTGAAAAAATAAAAAAGTTATAGGGCTGAGCCACTTTTGAGACGCATCCGGTATATCGAGAAACTATGGTCACGCTCGTTGAATTTGACGCTTTATGTCAGTTTAATACTATATTTTCGTACTTTTATGCTTAGGCGTAAATGACTTTTATATTTTCAATCAAGTGTCAATCACGTCGCAAAAATTAATACTTTTGTGAAAAAAAAAATTTGAAAAAAATTTCGGTGCTTCTACCTATCGCTCAATAAAGATTATTAATAAGACTTACCATATAAAACTATAATTACCTATATCTAATATAACAAGAAAATATTTTTATTAACTGACCTGGTTAACATATTTTTTACGTTAAAATATTAAATTTACAATTTCATAATATTTTGTAATTGATCATTCTGATGTAAACTTTAATCTCAGAGTGAAAAGAAAATTTGAATATTGACAGTATGGGATGCAATTCTTTACGAATTAAGTAACTAAATAAGAATTATCATAATAGTATATTGTTTTATTAGGAGTAAAATTGATACTTTTCGTGGCGAGGCTGTACGTTTGACATTACAGGCGAGGTACCAAAAATAATTTTTACTCCGAATAGAACATGCTATTTTTTTTTCAAACGTTACAAAATAAGGTAATATAAAAATATTTAAAAGTAATTGTAAAGTAATTATATATCGAGAAACTAGAGTTACGCTCGTTGAATTTGACACTTTATGTGCTTTAGAAATTTTATGCCTAGGCGTTAAAATGACTTTTTTTATATTGTCAATCACGTCGCAAAAATTAATACTTTTGTGACGTTTGAAAAAAAAGTATTTTTTTTTAAATAAGACTTACCATGTCATGCACGTGCGGCCTCGCCATATGCGCAAACTTAAGGAAAAAAATTACCACCGAAGAGGTGTCTGTGTCACGTAACAATCCAATCGAGAAAACGGCCCTTGTGACAGTTCGAATACAACGTAGAAGGATTAGACGAGATGACGCAACGATCGAGATGAAAAAACATTTAGTCGAAAAAGTGTTAAAGTCACCGCAACGTTCTTCGTAGCTGGCCACGTGAGAGAAGATGCCGGCAAACGTTTTCCGGTTCTTTGCGCGTTGACGGTCGTCAGAATTATGAGCCCGAAAGTGCGGTACGCCTCCCTTTAAGAACTCATGAATGGACAGCGGCGGTACGATGTTGCGTCAGCATCGGCGGCGGCTCTGGCCAGAAGGCGGGAAAACGATTGCCGTCGTCGAGGCGGCGGCGATAACGTACCGACGCTGCCCGTCTTCAGGGCGCGCCGGTTGCGGACGGTACGAAGTGGCTAGAGCTAGAGCTAATAACAAATCCGGTTAATATCGAAGCGGGTCCTGCCCAAATTGGGGTTTCTGCTAGTGATGGGAAAAACCGATTAATTTCAATAATCGAGTACTCGAGTTTCAAGCGATTGCAATAATCGAGCGATCGTTCGAGCGAAATATCGCTCATATTTAAAAATACGGTTTTTCGACCGTCGTCGCTTGTTGTAAGTACTCGTTAATTAACGCCTGTGGTTAACGCCAAGCGCCAAGCAGGAAGTTGCGTGCGCAGGGTACATATTCTTTCAGTGATGAATGGCAAGTAGCAGCGACGAGCGATTCGCTTGATCGCTTGATTTAGTTTATTTCAAAGCATTGTCGATGTAGGTCGTAAAATTTTGTCCCTCAGATACGCAACGGATAACGTCGTATAAACTTGCTATCTGCAATGTATGTAGAAAATTCGCTCGGCTTTTTATCGAGTATGTCACATTAAAATCTGATTTCAATTTATTTCATTCTAGGATCGCTTGCTAGTCACTTGCATCGCTCGTTCATAATCGAGCGATGTCGGTTATTTCAATAATCGAGTACTCGAGCGAATTTTCGCTTGAGTTATCCCATCACTAGTTTCCGCAACCCGTGCTGTTTTTATCGGAACCGGGAATTTCGGTAACACGCCTCTTAGGAACCGGGATTTCCCGTATTTTCTGGTACTTTCGGTACTGATTAACAGCGGCGCCGGCGTAGCGTGGGATACAAGGAGATGTAATACACAACATAAAATTATAGATATATACAGGCTGTCACAGGCTGTCCCCGGCTGAGCGTGCATTAGAAGTTTCTAGAGAACCACAATTATCTAGATAGGAGATTTTTTGCACATGATTGTTTCACAACGAGATCTATCCATTAAAATTATTTTCAATATGGCAGCACTTTTGGAAATACCGGAAGTTGACAACAACTTTCTTATTTTAAATGGGTGCTCCCATTTTTTATTACATACTTAAATTCTTTATAAAATTCTATTGATGTATTGACGAATATTGATGTTAAACACTCTATATCTAATATTAACCGTTTTTGAGAAAAAAAAAAAATAAAATTTTTGGACGAAAAAACGACCTGTCAAAAAAAATTGTATAGCCTAAAAGTCAAATTTATTGATAACCATAGCCACTGTGACATAAAGAGAGAACGTAATGGCGGTAGCTGTCATGGAATTGAGCGATTAAAAAATTATCATAAATAATTTTTTTCAAATAAAAACCCACTTTTCTATCTTACTAGTGAAAAGGTTTTCAAATTCGTTACTTTTTGTGATTACATGTTTCTATACCTAAAATAAATCGTTTTTAATTTATTTAAGATTAAGTTTGAAAACGTATATTTTTCTTGATTTTATCTAACTTCCTTTGACATTAATTGTCAAACAGTCAACAATTTATTTCCATCTGTCAGAGCACGAATTATTTGAATTTCCTATATTATAAATACTGCTGCTTAAGAGTTAAAAAGTGTGTTTGTAAAAATATATCTCGTATTTTCGCTCTTTAGTGATATCTAATAGTTGATATTAATAATATACCGTATGATCGAAAAAAAAACAGCGCAAAGTTGGTTTGGAAATGATGATCGATAACATACTGGTTTTTGAACAAAGTGTCACAATATGACATGACCAGATCTACTGTTTTACATTACTTGACGTTTAAAGTCATAGGCTGCTAGTTAAAATCAAGAAAAATGTACGCTTTAAAACTAAATATTAAATAATTTAAAAACAGTTTTTTTAGGTATAGGAACTTATATAGTCAAAAAGTAAAAAATTGAAAAGCCTTTTCACTAGTGAAATTAAAGAAGTGGGTTTCTATTGGAAAAAAATGATTTATAATAATTTTTTAATCGTTCAATTCCATAACAGCTGCGGTCATTATTATATAACATTCAAACAATTTAATTTTTGAAATAGATAGCCACATGTCTTCTCTTTATGACACAGTGGTTGTGGTAATCACTAAATTCGACGTTTAGGCTATACACATATTTTTCACAGGCAGTAGGTACTTTTCGTACAAAAATTTTAAATATTTGTTTTTTCTCAAAAACGGTTAATGTTAGGTATACAGGGTGTCTCTCAGGGGAAAATTTAATAGACGATAGAAGTTGTAAAAATAAAACAAAAAGTTCATATCAACTTATAAGATTTAAAGCTTACTTTTCGAGATACAGTGTACCATTAGAATACCAATTATAATATTAATTATCAATTAGAATTTAATTTTTTTCGCAAAAAGTAAGCAAGATAGACAAAAAAATAATGTTTTCAATTCCTAAATCCAAAAATAATATTATTTTATTATAACTTCTAAAAAAGCAGTGGCGTACCTATTTTTTCCTTTAAAATAATTTAACAGTGATGCCCCACTGCCGCCCCTGGCCATTAAACTTAAATCTAATTACATCAAATTAAGTCCCATAGTAAGTATTATAAATAGGTCAAGTTATAACAAAATCGATTAAATAGTTTTTCAAATATCTTAATTTTTTTTTCTTTTTTAAGTAACTTTAACACCCTGTATCTCGAAAAGAAAGCTTTAAATCTTACAAGTTGATATGAACAATTTTTATTTTTGCAAGTTCTATCGTATTAAATTTTCCCGATTAAAATCTGAGACACCCTGTAGAGTGTTTAATATCAAAATTCATAAAATTTTACAGAGAACTTAATGTAATAAAAAATGGGGCCACCCATTTAAAATAAGAAAGTTGTTGCTAACTTCTGGTATTTCCGGAAGTGCCGCCATATTGAAAATATTTTCAATCGATAGATCTTGCAGGGGGGTGACAGTGAAATAGGAAAATTGGAAACAGTCATTAGTGTCATTCCTGTCATTCTCCTCACGACAAGTATGACCGCCTAGACAAGGACAGCAGTGTTTTTGTCTAACTATTGTCTAACTTCGCAGTTTAGAATTGACAGATTTCACTTTCAGAGACAACTTCAGATTTGTTCTAGAACAAATTCGAAAATATTCGACGCCATTTTAATTCATTCCGTTTAGTTTCGTTTTGGAAGTTCAATTTAATATTTCGGCTGAAATTTATAAATATAAAGGTAATAAAGTATATAAAATATATATTACATGAAGAATCCTGGAGAAAATGACGTTTCTGCAGTAGTAAGTATGTCCCATGTATATGAAAAATAGGTAGTAAATAACATGTAAATAAACATTGTTTTTACATTTTTTAGATGCAAGAAAATGGTGTTATAATCTCTTTGATCGGCGATTTTTTGAAAATGGAAACAATTTACAGCAAGGTAAGATCATTTTTAACTATAGCCAACATTAGTTATCTCCAGTATGTGCGATTTATTGTCAATAATGCAATAAATCGGACTGATAATCTGATTATGTTATCCGACTAAAAGTATCTTTTTGCTTCTTTTTGATTTATAAGCCAGGTCTCTTTGGGAATAATGGACGCTTTTTTTAAACAGTATATTTATATTTTATACCTATTGATATTTATACATTGTTAATTTTAGTATAAAAAAATTTGTTTTTCTGTTTTCAGGTTTTTGTATATGGCTCCCGTTTTCATGTTCCTGTGTCCGTTTTCTGTCCTTGAAGTCTGCGAATACTTGTGGTTATTTACAAATTACTGTAAGTCATGCTTATACCTTAACTAATTTACGTTAAAAGTGCATATAATTAACTAATTGGTATTGAAACAATACAATCCTCTATATTTTTATATTTATTTAGTCACGTTGTTCCATATTTCAAATAAATATATGTGAATAAATTATTTTTTGGTTTTATTTATGAAAAGAAAAAATACAAAATATATTTGAACTGAAAGAGCGCCCGCCATTGAATAACCGGAAACGGAAATCAAAATTAAGCCATCATGTCCTTAGCATGTCAACCTGTCAATTGGAAAATTAGTTCTCCAGACGACAACGAAGGCTTTCGGTGGCGTATCGTGTTTCCACGATTTAACACAGAGTTGACACTTCTTTCTAGTTAATTATTTTATGAGATCTTGTTGTGAAACAATCATGTGCAAAAAATCTCCGATCTAGATATTTTAGTTCCCTAGAAACTTCTAATGCGCGCTCAGCCTGGGACCCCCTGTATATTTCGAAAATTTACATGTATTAGACCTAGAATAATATATAAAATGACAAGAAAACATTTTTTTTTATTACGTGACCTAGTTCACATTTTTAGCCGACCATACCAGGTAGGTATGGTAGGCTATTCAGATCGACAAAAATAATGTTTTTGTAATTTCACTCAAAATTAGTTATTTGGGTCATAGATGATCTAAATACAAAATATTTTCATGGTGTCGATCTGTCTGTCTGTCTGTCCGTCTGTCCGTCTGCAACACGATAACTCAAAAATCGCTAAACCGATTTTAACCAAATTTGGCACAAAAATACTGTGGCATCCGAGAATCTGGCGATTACCTATTTTTCACAATTTTTATTTTTCACCTTTTTAGATTAGTTTTTGGTGGTGGGGGGGAGGTTGGTTGGTAAGGGGGTATGGGAGGGGGTTAAAGATTTTAAAAAATCGTCACTCCGAAATTACAGTAGCTAGCAAAACGCTGTTTTCAATTTAAGATTAGGAATAATATTTGCAACAAAATTTGTAATAACATCAAAATCAGTCAAAGTCGCAGTTTTTGAGATAAAAAATATGGAAAAATTCCTTTACTTTGAAACTAAAAGAACTGCCTGCCAACTTTTTATTAACATATTTTAGTATGGGCGGCTATACGTGCCTCCCCGCGCCAATTTTTTGTAAGTGATTTCAGGTAAAAAAAGTTCACCCTAGTTCAGTGTTTTTGAGT